TTATATAAAGTAAGTTTATACTATATTCATATAGTATGTTTATTCATCTAATGTAATTTGTAAAGAAAATTTCTGGTCATCCTTTGCAATATACAGCAATTGTTGGTAAACCAAGTGAAATAACATATTATCATGCCGAATATCTTATATCTCGACATGCACATGAACTTGGTTTTAAACAACCAATAAAACGAATATATGCTGTTGGTGTAAGTTTTTAATTAGATTTTTCTATTGGAATAAACAAAAACAAAAACATTTGCTTTTTTTTTTTGTTAAATTTTGTAGGACAATCCCGATACCGATATATTTGGTGCAAATGTTTATAATCGTTATTTACAAACTCGAGCATTATCGAAATTAAAACAAGTCGTTTCACAAACAACAGCTGTTAGTTTAACAGCTAATTCATCACCAATATTTGATACAAATGCATGGAATCATTCGAATGCTGTTGAATTAGTTGCTAATGATGCTGAACATTATTATTCAGCGGAAAATATTCAATCAATACTTGTTTGCACAGGTGTATATAATCAAGAAGCATATGATGAAACATCAAGTATAAATCATGGTCATCGTGATATGATCATTGATCCCGAACTTAAAAAGCCGAAATATACAGTTGAACATGTTTTAGATGCTGTTAAACTTGTTTATGAAATTGAACAGTTTCATTAGCAACGAAATATTTTTGTCCGTATAATCTCGGTGATTGATTCCTTGTTTGTTGTTTCTTCTTCGTTTTTTTCTTTGTCGATTAAGATCTGAATATATAAAAAAGAAAAGTTTATTTTTCTATGTTCCTTTTATTTCTATAAATATTCAATATATAGATTGATCCATGCACATATCATTTTTTAATTTGTTTTAAATCAGATAGTTTTATGTTAATTTTTTCCTTTTTCTCTCGTTTTGTGTTTTGTATCAGTTAGTTCTGGTGAATGACAGACAAATCTGTTCAAAGATATGCATATTTATTTGTGTGTAGTCAACTTCTTGATAGGCGTTTGTTTTCTTTTTCTATTCGAACAACTGATGATGATGATGTTATGAGTGTGCTGTAGGTCAATTGAGAACATATCGATTTAATAAAATATAAATAAAAAAAAAAACATGGATTAGTTGCATGAAAAAAATAAATTCTTTTTTTAATATCAATTGATTTCTTGACTACGTATATGCTTATTTTTAAAGAAAGGTAAATGAAAATCTTTTCCCAAGAACTTTTGATAAAAAAAAAAGACCGACAGCTGAAGCTTTTCTCGTTAGAAGGAGGAGATAAACATGCAACGAATCATATATAAGAAGTTTTTTTTTAAAGGTTTTCAATCGACTTTTTTGAAAAGCACATATCATCCTGTGAGGCGATGACAGTGACGGTGTGCATTCGAATCGCGAAAGAACCATTTTTTTTTCTACAAATTTATTTAACTAAAAACTTCAGAAATCATTTTAGGAGAACTTGTGATAGGTGAAAATATGCAGTTTATATGTATTGACTTTTAGTTAGAGGAAGAAGTTTTGGTCAACTATGATATAATTGCATCTATGCACCGAGAAGCAATCGAATTCAAGCTTATCTATTATGCAGTATATTACGTATATTTTTAACTGATCAAAAGAGCAGAAAACTTCTATTGACTACATGGAAGATTATACTTTTGAAAGTCAGCCTTTTTCTTCAATCATGTTAATTTTCATAATAGCCCGGATACTCATGCTTGATTGCATTGTTTGATTAATTGAAATTAACTACATAGAACTCTATCAAAAATATAATTAAAAATAGACTTAATATAGGTCGGTATGTTGAATAAAACTAAGAATTCCGGTATGATGATGACGTCTAAAATAACGAAAAAGATGTTTTCTACTATTCTTGTTCTCATGGCCTACACACAACGTGTGGAGATCAAAAGAAGAGCAAGCAATTCATCGAGGTGCAATATAAATCTAGTATAAGGTAGGATGGTGCACAGAAAAAAAAAAGCTACATTATCATATCATTTGAAATAATCACTTTTAGATGGGCAATTTTCGACCTTTGTTGTTCAAGATTGATGGAGTTTTAATAAGTGATATCCAAATGAATGTTCCACGTATGTCTTTGATTTGTCATATATGTGGTGATATTACAAGTAGTATACATTTTGATATGATTACTTGTATTACATGTCAAGGATTTTGTCAAAGATTTGCATTACGATCAAGAAAAAGCAAATGCTCAATAACAATTAAACTTAATTTTTTTATGAAATCAAAATAGAAAATTCTTCGTTGTCTATTTGATTATAATTATAATAAAACAAAATAAATGTGCACTGAGTATTCGACTTGCAGTTGCAAAGAAAAGTTTTTGCTCTGAGCATGTGTCTGAATTGAATTCATTCGCTGCATAGAAAATAAAGGAAACTACATACAAATATTTGTTTGTTTCAAGTCTATGAAAATAATTTAATAAAATATTCTAATCATTCACTTTTGTTTGTCTAAACCATATAATTTTTTAAATCAAGATAGTCCAATCTTATCATACTTAGACTTAAGCAAAAGTTCTCATGACATATAACACAACATAAAAATGAAAAGATATTTTTAACTTTAATTTAATGAATTCTTAAAATAGTTACCATAATTATTTATACAATGGTTAATCTTATCAAAAAATTAATCAAATGGTTTTTTTCTTAACTCTTCTTCTGAAATATTTTTAGCTATGCTAGAAATTTCATGAATCAATAGTTTTTCATTCGAGTGGTCAATTAAATTACGCTTGATAGAATCAGATAATTAGAAATAACATGATGCGAACTCTGATGAACACGGGAGGATGTGACATTATATTTGTATCTACTTGTGGTAGATAATTACCCGGGTCAATGATTCCGGCTTCTGTTTTTGTGATTTTCCAACCGAAATTCGCACTCACGTTGATGTTTTCGAATGGAAAATTTTAGAAACTTGAAAACAACATCTTTCATTTAAGTAATAACATCTGAACGCGCATGAGATCAAATGTTACTTCAAATTAATGCATTTAATGATCTTCTTTGACTTCATATTTCATTCACAGTAGGTTTGAGATAATTGTCAATATAATAGTTATAATCTACAGTCTTGGATTTAATTATACCAATTATTAGAACATAACCATTTGATTTAAACAATGTGGCGAACAAAAGTTTAACAACAATGTTCTTTTTCTATATTGTTAAGTAATTAGTTCAAATTCAGATAGTGATTTTAATAGTCAATGGTGTTTTCTTTTATCAAGATTTTATAGATGTAAGTAATTCACAAGAACAGCTGGATTTTGTTGTCTTGTCAGATGTTCTAAATAAAAGTAGTCAAGTTCTCTGCAAATAAATATAAATTCCTTTTACAGTATAGAACAGGAGCTGAGACTTCTGCTGGTCGAAAATCCTGACATCGCCACTAGTTGGGTACTTCTTTGTTTTTCTTTGCTTCTCACATATATCTTGTAATGTGTATGTGGTCCACATACACAAACTACTGCGTAATAGTGAAAACGTTACGTCAGCAATGAAATGGTAATGAGATAGAAAGTTTTTTATTTTATTTCACATGCTACAGTCGTCTACAGCAGCCATCTATCTTTATTTAATTCTTTGTTGTACGCTGTCTGCATTGCTAGATCTTCCACCAATAGAATTTCTTATATGTATTGTCCTGTGACTAAAGTATCTGTTGTACAGAAAATTTCAATGGTTGAAGCAATTATTATCGAAATCGGCGCATAGTTATGCAATTGGGACGTCAGATGCCCTCCTAATTTTCCTGAAAATGAGATTATCACTATCTGGTAATGTACTAGGCGTCTGAATTTTGGACGAGTGCGTTTTGGGGACTGAAGTAGGATCTCCAAGAAATTAATCTCTTACGGTTTTGTTCTCACGACGACAGAATGCACTACGTAAGGCACTATGAGAGTTAGAATGAAATTCAACAAGGAGAGGATCTAGAATTCTGTTCACCTTTCCAGTCATCTCAACACGTTACATTTGCAAGAGACTTCCGAGTTCCACCAAATATATATGTCGAATTCGACTGATAATCGATATCATGTGTCGGTAATGTAGTGTGCATAAAAATATTTTTCCGCCGAAGTAACGCTGTGATTTTTAAAAAACATCAACAATAAATTTTACACCAAATTAAAACGCTTCGAAAATGGGATATATTAATAGTAAATAGTAAGTATTACGGCAAATTTTCAGTGCCAAATTTAGAAAACTCCTAAAGTTTTATTTCATATCAGCAGAGAAAACTTCCTTTGGAGAGGTGGTCCAAACTAGATCTCATTTAAAATAATAAATATCAAAAAGTAATATTTGTTTCTTAAGATCTGATGAACATAATCAATAATAACCATTCGCTTGAACTCTTGATTTGAAGATAAGCATGCAAGCTAACGAGAGGAATGATGCTTTCATAGTGAGTGAAGTATGAGCTATCGGTTTTGCATCGTTGTCATTCTTTGTTCGTACCTTTTCATTTTTTATTTATGACTTGCTCAATGCGTTCTCTTCATCCCTTATCATATCTATGACATTGACTCTACTTCATCGTTTTTTTCTTTCTTGTTTATTCGTTTAGTCACCTTTTCTATGCTTGCCGGTTAGACTATTTTGTGTAAATAGGCTTTAGTTTAATAAAACTGTAAATAATTTATTATAATCTATTTTGGATCGTTAAAAAACAATTTCAATTGCTACATTTTCATCTCATCATTTTACACCACGTCTTCATCATTTGATGTTTTTTCCATCGGAAGTAGGATATTTTCTAGATCTGAATTTTCATGTCTCAAAGTCATGCTAAGACAATTGTGTTTCTATGATTTCCGGCAAGAAAAGTAAATACTCGACTTTCTAACCGAAACTATGGATTGATACAGTTGAATCTCAGTTCATCTAAAACTATTAGGTAATTTGAAATTCGTGATCTTATTCTTTTTCAAGATTTTTGTTAGCACTATGGCAACTTTACGTGGTACAGTTACGCATCATGATAACGGTACCTATGCGTTAACCTTTCATAAGAAGGATGATTTATTAAGTTCTGAAGTAGAACAGCGTATGATCACTACCTTCTTCGTCGTCTATCCTCAAATTGTCTCACGGTTCAATTCGAATTCTGCTTGCAGTGTTCAGTTCACAGTAGACCCCAATTTTAATAAATGTCCAGCTGTGACAAGTGGAGCTAATGTGACGTTCAGTGCAAAATGGCTCCAGGATCATCCGGCCGACACTGATATAGTGACTCATGAATTGATGCACATTGTGCAAGATTATTCGTTTGATAATCCGACGTGGCTCGTTGAGGGTATTGCTGACTATGTTCGAGAAAAATATGGAATGAATAATGTAGCAGCTGGCTGGTCAATGCCAAACTACTGTTTCAATCAGATGTATACAGATAGCTACAGAGTGACCGCACGCTTTCTCATTTGGCTGGAAAGCCGGATCAATTCGTCGATCGTCGAACAACTTGACAAATGCTTGAGACAGGGATCTTATACCGAGCAAATATGGCAGCAGTTGACTGGCAAGACTATCGATCAACTATGGAATCAATATGCTCACAATCCTCATTTCAGCGATAGTGAGCCGAGGACGGGTACTGTGTCTGACGGTGTCTACAAGCTGATTAATATTAATAGTAGTAAAGCTCTTGATGTTGCCAATTCGGGCACAAAAAATGGTACTAATGTACAAATCTACACGAATAATGATACTTCCGCTCAAAAGTGGCACATACAAAATACTGGCGATGGCTCATATAAGCTAATAAATATCATTTGTGGCAAAGTATTGGATGTCGAACAGTCGAGCACGTTGAATGGCACAAATGTGCAAATTTGGGAAGATAATGGAACAGCTGCACAACGATGGAATCTTAAGGCTATAGGCGATGAAAACATTTACAAGCTTGTTAACGTCATTTGTGGCAAAGCATTGGACGTCGATCACTCTGGAACAGCTGACTGCACCAATGTCCAAATCTGGACTGATAACAACACAGCAGCTCAAAAGTGGCGATTGGCCCAGTTGTCATAAAATGTAAAATGGTGACAAAACGGCTACTTATCATGTTGAGACTAACCTTGATTTATATAAAGGATTTGTTTATCTCAGACGATATCTTAATTGAGCATTCTTCAACAATAAATCAATCTGCTACAAACACAATGGCCGTCAAGATTTATAATGAAGTGACTCGTTGTCGTAGGAGAAATATTCATCGCTTGAAAAGTCTATTGTGAAATTCACTATAAAAATAGTGAATTTAAGTTTATATCCAAAAATTTTCTGTTTTTGCTTCTCCTTCGTCCCATTATAGACACAGATACTTTTTAGTATTAAGTAGGAAGTGCAAAAACTAAAGATCTCCAGAAATCTTTTCCTCGTATACTCCAGTACCGATGCAAAGTATAAGTCGACTTACGTAAGTAAAATGTAATGAAGTACAAGTACAAAGTGCAATTGCTAACTAAAAACAACATGTACAGGTTTCAGGTATTGTACTTAGTATACAATCACTGACGTGCGTGTCAGTTGCAAGTAGCAATTTATATTCTGAAAACGCCAGTAATGCCTCGATTACATGCCAATAGAAAGTTCAACCCGTTGCCAATGAACATATACACTTCGCGACATTGAAAGTTCGCATAATTGATTGAAAGAACTATGACAACTACAAGCGAGCAATACATAGAGAACTTACCGATTGAGTGTGGATCAGATGTGAATGTGGATGACAAGAATTCTTCAACATATACACCCACACCCTTCTAAGTTAATTGGAATGAAAATGATTATTTTGATTTTAAAACATCATTGCATGTAAGGTCTTTGATGAGAACACACTCATACGTCAGTTTTATTATATAAAAGTAATGAAAAAATCAATAAACCAACATTGAACTATATGACAATAAGATATGAAATATACAAGAAGAGAAATAACAAATGATCAAATTTGTATGTATTACACATATTTAAAGATGAAAAAATTTTCTTCGTTAGTTTAAACGTTTGATTTTCCTGAATAAGCGACTTTTACAATTACCTGAAAAAGAAAAAAGCTACTAAGAAGAACTTAGGTTGAATTAATTTGTCCACTTTTACTTCACTTATGCACTTCAGTGTATTAATAACTTAATCGATGTTGTTCACAATTAAAATGAGTGCTTTTAAACATATGTATTATGATAACAACAGGCACTTACATTTGATATTGAGAGTTCTGAAAATTGAACTACGAACTTCTCTCATGTGGGAACGAATTTGATGTTCCCTGTCACAAACAAAGATATTTACATAAATACATATATAATAAATAAGACAGTAAAATAACATATCATTTTATCACCAATAACGATTCATCTAATTGGTTGCATTGGCCTAAAATAGCAATGTCACGTAAAGTATCTACAAGAATAGATTTTGTGATATTCAACTAATTCATTCGATTTTGTGGTATAATCAATTAAATCAGTTAGTAACTAAAAAATAAACAGTTGCTATTTTTGATCATTTAAAATATAAATTCTTACTTGAGTTTTATCCTTTTTGCAATATTAAACACTTTCGAAAATTAGCTTTTGTGACTGTGGAAAACAGTAGAGTATAAACAAGCGAATATTGAGTGTAACACCGCTACAAAAAGCATTGTTAGATTTTTAACAAAAATTACAATTTATTTGCTCGAGCTTTCGACAATTTTCACTTGCCATCGCCAGGAACAATAATACAGAAAGAAACAAAAGCTATTCTTGCCATACATTCAACTGAAACCAGAGAACAAACAGATTAATTGATAGCCAATTATAATTTGTGAATTAATAGTTATCTGAAGACATTTAGCTTAAATTTAATGTCATCAAATGATTGACCTAGTAACTGATGTGTATATAAGCTTTCTTTAATTATTTTACGAGTCCAGTTCCTTTAGAATGTTAATGTTTCAGCTTCATTAAAATTGAGAGAGTATTTATGTTCTATCACATGATTTACTATATTTGATGCATTCGATAGTCTTTTAATATCTTTTTTATGTTCTCTGATTCTCGTCGATCTTTTACGACTAGTTTCTTCAATATAATATTTGTTGTAGTTAATACTCACGATTTTAAAAACTAATTTTTGATCTTTTTTGCAATGGTAAAAACATATTTTTAATGTAAAGTTTTTCTTGAAGGCTATATTAATATTAACATCAGGTAGATATTTATGACAAATATGTTTAATTTTGTGTGTTAAAATAGTAGATTCTAATCCATAGTAAGTAAGTGTAAAAACTGTTCTTTTTGATTGAAGAGTTTTGTTATTTGTTAGGACTTTTTTCTAACACTTTTTAACCATCGTTTTTCCTTCTCATATTCCTCTTCTTATTAGGTGTTGTAGATATCTGTTCGTTATTAATGTTTGTTTCATTATTGCTAATTCATTTTCTTTATGAGTACTAGCTGAGCAGCTAAACAAGATGCGAACTACTAAGGTGCAGAGTAATTCTAATTTGTATTTGCGACATTGATTACTTTCAAATAGTAGGTATAAATTTGTATTAGTTCGTTTTCTATATAAAATGGTGTAGTTATCAATATTATTATTTCGAATGACAAGGACATCTAAAAATGTTAATTTATCATTAGTTTTATCTTTAGTGAATTTTATGTTTTGGTGCCATTTATTAATTCTTCTTAAGAAATCATGTATATTTTGGTGCTTATTAAATATTCAGAAAATAACGTCTACATAACGTATTCACATGAAATAATTGTTAGTTGAACGCTTATTTAATTTAATTTCTACATTAGTAATAAATATGTTTGGACGTGGATGAGTGCGGTTATACGCTTTGTGTTCACTCACACTCAACATTTAAATCTACATCCACGGACATCCACATTCACACTCACATCCCAGAATTCTTCCGTTATTTAGCAAAGATAAGGTCCCGTTTTCCATGTCAATATTTACGAATAAAATAAAAGAATGCAGCACAACGATAGATGATGTGCTTTTTTTCTTCGTTATATAAGATTACGACAAATGTGCATGTCTATCTTTTTTTTTATAATGTATATCCATTTGGTATTAAAAGTATCAATGCACTCTAGCTTCTTCCTTTGTTGTTCTTTATCACCTTACACAGAAATATATTGTTGACTATACCACATAGTCATCGATGGAATCCGTCAATAATCTATATACCAGAGCCCCAAACAGGCCATAACGCCGACTCCCACACCCTTTAAAATGGACAATGAAGTTTTCTCTCTAATGCATTCTAGAGGTTCTTCCATAAGTAGCACTATGACAGGAATTGTAAATTTCTTCATACTTGTTCAACCAAATGAGCCGAACTTTTTTTGGATAATAAAGTCTGACTTAGAAATTTTTTTCATACAAGCAATACTAATCAAGACTACTTTGAGTCATTATCATTTGTTCGAATAAAAGAAATCTAGTCTTTTCTTAGGTTAAAAGAAAAACAGCATACACAGTGCTTTGAAGATATCTTTCGTTTCTAACGTCAGAGGGTACCAAGAAAAATATCGAACTAAACTTTATTAAGGACATTAGAATAATACACATAAATCAAGGTTTTACAAGAAACTAACTTAAATGTTCAAACTGATATCTATCAGCATCAATATAAAAATTGACTGCTTCAGATGAGCGTAGGTTCGCGACTTGTTATTGTACGCCATCTCTTTCATGTATCCCCACATGAAGTAATTTGTTGGTGTTAGATCAAATGATCTTGCAGACCACTCGAGTGGACCTTGACGACCGATCTACCTTTTGGGAAAATTTTGTTTAAGCCACTGTCAAACGTCAACAACACAATGCGGTGGAGCACCATCTTGTATGCGAAAAGCTGAGTTGTTATCTGATAAATTATAAAATAGTGGGTAGAAGTAGTTGTTCAGCATTGAAAGATAACTTTCACCATTCACTGTATTCTCAAAGAAGTAAGAATCGACTACTCCTTTTGACCAAATACTAGCCCACACAGTTAGTTTCTCTGTTTCACTGAGTGCTTCCATGTAATATTTGGATTTTCTGTGACCCAACAGACCACATTATGACGATTAACATCACTATTGAATTTGAATATGGCCTCATCGGACGAGATAATATGATTGATAAGGTCAGATTTATTCTCGAGAAATGAGAGACACGTCTAGGAGAACTCAATTCGTCGGTCAAAGTTATCTTCATTAAGTTTAGGAATTGACCATGGAATATAGAGCTTGAACACCAAATATTTCTAAACGCGATTAGTTAAGATTGTTGAAATATTTAACTGTGTACTCATACGACAAATTGACATTTGAAGGTCTCTTGTTACAATGGAAGTAACTTTACCTTCTAAGGTTTTGTCAATAACTGATTCTAATCTACCAGATGAAACAACTTTAAGCACCCAGCCAGTCTGTTCAAATTTTTTAATCAAGTCGTTTATTGTTAACTGAGCAGGAGATTCGTTCTTCATTTTCTTGTGCCCTAGTCTTTGAAGTTGAATTGGATATTCAAGTTTATACATTTTTCTCACGATCCATACTTTTTCATTCAAACTCAGTTGATGTCGAATCATATCTTGTGCTCAACTTAAAAAGAAATATATGCAGTTTGACGCTGCGTAATAAGGACTGTCCATTAGAGGAAAGATAGACATAGTTTTAAACATGAGGAAATAAGAAACAGAGAAAACTGAAATCAGAAAAAACTTGAAATTTCTTTTTCTCTGTCCACCACTGTGCAATATGCCAGAAAAATAAAATAAAATGGTGACATTATACATGGTATCAAGAGAAAGAACTGTACATGTTATGTTACTCAAATGAAACAGAAAAACACACATACAGCACATAAGTGAAAAGGCAATCGACTTCATTCACTAGAAAACGAATGCACATATAGTATAATATATCTGTTCAAGTCACGTTTTAACATCATGAATGGTTACATTTTTTTTTATTTCAATTAATCACAAGTAACGCTCGTCGCTTCGACTCGCTTAGCCCTCGACTGAACAAGATATCATATTCAATTTTTTCACAGAATATGTAGTAAAAGAAGTTCACAACAGTTGTACGAAAATGCAGNTAAATTTTCTTTATGCCGACGATTAATCATTAGAAATTACAACTTATCTTTATAAGTTGTAGTTTTCTGTTTTCTACATCTGGTTTACCTATGTACATGACATACTGAAAGCTATTCAAATATGATTTAGACAGATTATATAAATAGAATAAGAACGAGCTTCGGTTATGAAAAAGACTTGCTTCACTGTAACAGTGGGTAGTTGAATACAAAAACGAATATTATGAAACAGTTGCTAAAATTTTAAAATGATTTTAGATGGTGAAACCATGAGCATTGAATATAAATATTTTATCAATTAACACGATGTTCAGATTTAAAAAATATATAAATCTACTTCTTATACGAGAGATTGATCAAAAATGACTGCGCCAGAAGAATTTGTTTTATTTATTAGAGTGAAAAAAAGTATCGGTTCAAGGTAGTAAGAGCTTTCAAAGCTGTCTAAATAAATGTATGCATATATGTTATAAAAGACAGGAGATGAACCTATTAGTTATTTATTTTGCCTGTGAAGATAATCACGAATTAAAGTGAAAAAAATTGTCACAGAAATGTGTCAAATAATAGATGCATCCAATGTTGCTGTAGGTTAAGAGAATTGTCTTAACTCTTTCCAGCCGGCTCCTAGAAGGCGAATAGCAAAAAATTCTATTTTCATGTATTTCTTATTGTTGTATCGTAAGTATAACAAAAATATAATCTTCAAAACAAGAATATTATTTTTTACTTAATAACTGTATGTAACCATTTGGCAACAGCCGGCCGTAGAGCGTAAAAAATTTGAAAAAATTATCTTTTTGTTTTCGATCGTCAAAACGCACTATTTCGGGTTTTTTTTGTTTATTTCTAATCTTATTTCAAGAAAAAAACACATTAACAAAGAAAAGACAAATAGAACTAAACAACAACAAAAAAACACTTACTTTTGACAATATATGTTATCAATGATGATAGTCTTTGAAACAGTTACTCTTATCGTTCAAGCAAAGACGTAGTTGACATTTTGAACAACAAACTCTTGTATAACCAATAAAACCAAAATTTCGACAACGACCTTTTGATGTATGAATAAGTCAATGATCAAACTTGTCCAATCGAACACTTGATGGTGGAATTGAATTTGGTACAGCTCTTGATGTTGTTGTTTGATTATTTTCATTTGATGGTGAATCTCAAGATGAATGACCACGTTTTATTGAAGGTGTAGGGGATGCAGATTTAAGCATAGCTTCAGTAACACTTATACAAAATGATAATAAAGACATGGTGTCTCCTTTTTGAATATTAACCCGTGATCAATGGCGATGGTACGATAGCCAATCATTTACAATTGAAAGATCAATAAGATGAAAGATAATCTTAGTATAGTACTTTTTTGAATGACCATTAATTCGATATAATGAAATTAACATGGCAATCAAATCAAGACCATCCATGTGTTGGTTATATACTTTTACAATATTTGGTCGTGCAAATTGTATATGATTTTTTTCTTTTGACGACCATCGTTCGACTAAATCGGTTGGTTGACAACTGTACAATGTAGACAAATAATTAACAGTCTTATTGTCATACCACCTTACTGCACATCGTTCAACACCATCAACTTCAGCAACACGATGATCTCTTGATCCTCTATCTTCTGTTAGTAAATCTTTTTCGTCTTTCATGATCAAACCTGGTAAGCAATCAGCTCTTACCGTACCTACAGAATAGATATCTAACTTTTTCAACTCAACTTGAAGTTTAATTATTGTAAAATAGTTATCAAAAAAAAAGTTTATGCATGATAGAACGTGGTACAGTTTCACATAATTCTAGAACGAATTTTGTACAAAAACCTTGTTTCTGTGTATCAAAATCAGATTTGTCAACATAAAAAAGAAAATCATAACTATTGCCACTTCCACCTCCAGCTAAAAGAAACATTTTATATCCCCCNTTATATTGACCAGAGTAGTAGGAGAGTCGAACTCATTAGTCTCCTCCTTCTCTCTTTGTCTTCTGTATGCGCTAACATGTCTATGGGTGATATATAAAGAGCAGGAAGTTTTTATTTTAATAAATCGATTTGTGAGAAAAGCATTTTTAATCTTCAACAATCTAAATTAAGAAGGTTCTATCAAATAATATATTTTTACAAGGTGCGGGAAATTCAAAATTTGAGCATCACTTTTTTTTCCCAATGTTTTATATATGGTTGAATAGAGCTCGTCAAACTGTATAAGAAAATGTATTTTAAAATTTTTTTTCTTGCCTTATATCAAAAAAAAATCAAAATACTTTGATGAAATCAGTCCATGTAAAAATGTCCTGATTTTGATATATATCCGTTGATTGATGACTCTTTAAAATGTGATTAAATCAATAAGAATGAGTTCGTTTTAACTTAAATGTTGCAGATTTTCTAACGATGAACGAAATTTTAGCTTAAAATTTAAGTCAACAAGAGAAAATTAGGAATCTCGAACTGTAATAGACTTTTCTTTTGCTATTAACCAAAACTCATTGAATGACAGAAGTCTCAGATAATTTTACACTTTGAAAGGTTTTCTAGTTCATATTAACGCAACTTAAATGTAACACTTCTGATCGAGACATCTATATCAGTTACCTCCATCCACTAGCCTGCTTGGCACTACCATCATTTAGTGCTCGAAAATGCTCGGCATAGTTGGTCGATAAGTCATTGCACAAAGCATGTTCATTTCTAAGAATGGAAAAGAACGAATAAAAAAAGACGTCTATCAAGCGTATTGTCAAGTACCTTCCATCATAATGAATGTGAGCATGGTAACTAGAATCAAATTCCAAGCTAGGTGCTATATTTCCAGCGGGATCTGTTAATGGATAATCTTCTGGAATATGAAGAATTAAATGAATCATAATACCTTGATATGGCCCATTATTGATCAATACCTGACAAATTATAGTAATTTACTTAGGAACATAGATCGAATGATTACTTGAATACATACATTACAATGTAAAACAAATGGATTTGATTCATCTGGATAGTTGACACCAAGTCCTGGTATCGGATGTTTATCCAGATCTCTCAAATCTCTAAAACAATTTCAACATAAAAATAGGCATTGCTGTCATAAACATATTATTTCATTATCTACATACTGTATAATTCGCTTGGTAGCAGCAGCCTTTGTGATTTAAATAGCAGACTCATTACGAACGAATATAAAATGCTGACAAACCAGTTGTCGGTTTTTTTATATAGAAGAAGAAGACGTTTCGCAACAGAGTTTTTCCTTTTCTCTTCCGCTAAAAGTAAAAATCTAAGTTTCGTATACTAAACAGCAATCATTCGACACAGAACAGAAAATAAGCAGTGACTCACTAGTATGATTGCAAAATGAATGTAGAAACTCATTGCACAACGACAGCATAACTGCAGTTGTACACTTACAACCATTTTTTAAAAATTTAAAATGAGTATTTTAAGTCAAATGAGAAATGATTTTGTGGATATATTTCTAATTAGATATTATTAAAAATACTGTTTGATTTCGAATTATTAACCCTTTTACTTTCATTGGATGCTAAAATAGCAATTTGTAGAACAAATACAGGAAATAAGGTACACTATAAGAACATTGTTTTTCATCACTTCGTCATCGAAATAACGGGCCTGCAAAATCAATAATTTTGAAAAATTCCGAAATTTTCAAAACAAATTGATTTCTACCTGTAATCAATAGAAATCTTTCAAAATTTTTGCTTTATACAAATCGATAAAGAGGTTCACTAGTAGCAGCAGCGTAACCAGGATTTGAAGACCAATGGGCAAACTTTTCTTATGTCGAAAAATACCGATGGGCGAAATGGGCAAGGTTTTTATTGATGGGCCAAAACTTTTTTGGTCCAACAAAGTGCTAATGACGTAAAAATTTCATGCATAAGTTAATGTTGAGGTTTCTTTCAATATCTATCTGTGCATCACATATAGATATTTTCCCTATGAACTAGGTCATTTCACATCTTGGTTTTTTCATTTATGTTTCCACAAAGACGTCATTGGATTTTTTCTTTCTCTTCTATGCGTTACTCTATATGTATATGTATCTAAATATATGTATGTTTGTGTGTGTTCTCTTAATCTGTGCTATTGTTTCTCTTATCTTTGATCTATCCTTCTCTACCTTTACATGATTAGTATTTTTCCAATAAAACCAAACTCATGTTCACCCAAACTTGCAGTCAAAATCAGGGTTGCTACACTGAAAAAAAAAGGTATCATACGAAACTTAAAAGAATTTCGATTTTTGTAACCAATTCTGAACCATTTTCCGTTGTCGTACAAACCTACGACACCCATTCAAAGTTCCGTAAACTCTCACGAAACCCGTTTAGCAATTTACGAAACTTTGAATGAGTTTCGTAGATCCGTACGACAACGGAAAACGGCTCAGAATTGGTTGCAAAAATCGAAACCTTTTTAAGTTTCGTATGGTACCTATTTTTTTTTTCAGTGTAAATTTTCTGAAACTTGAACATTTTTGCGATTTTTTTCTGCCCTTTTGATTTTTCTGATTTTGATACCTTTTTCTAATTTGTTGCCGATTCCAAACGTTTTTAGATGGCGGCTTTACTAGTAAAATTAATTACGATTATAACATATTAATGTTATAGATCCGTTTTGCACTACCTTCTTTCCTTTCTTAATCTATTGTAGTTTCTGACTTCTGCAACCAATGACGAATACTTTAATATATCAGTAAATTTTTGCGTTGCCGAACTTAAGAATGAATGCTAATTATTATTTTTTTGAACGATTTTGGAAGCATATTTTGGCTCGAAAACATTTATGCAAGGAATTTCAAACAAAGGAAAACTTGAAAAAGAATATAGAATTTATGTTCTATAACCTTTATTATTTTTCGTAAGATTTTTTGATCTGGATAGTTTATGTATGATTTGTTTGCGCATATTTTTCGTAAAAAGAGTTTTAGGTTTCGTAAAAGAATCCGACACTAGGTATCTTTTGCTAGCTTTCTTTTTGTATTAAGTAACAATTGAAGGCCATGTAACTGCAAAGTAAAGAGATTGTTCATAGTCGAATCAAATGAATACTCTCACTCACAGACCAACTAGTTTAAAACATGAGCTGTCAATAGCGTGCACAGACCGGGAAGTTTAAATTTCAAGATATTTACAGTTTGTCATGTGCCCGCACTACGAAATTTCATCAACCTTTAGTTTTTTTTTCGTTATTGTTGGGCGGAAAACGACTATTTACATAAAGAGTAATAATATCACATATATTCAAAAGCAATTTGACAACCATTAGAATTTTTGTTTATTACACTTATAATTAAAATCGAGAAAACCCGTATTTGCCCAGCTCTGCTTTTTGCAAAAAGTTTTTCTTTCTGATTTTTGAAGTTTTCATCTGGCAAACCTGGTTAAAGTAGCAGAAAGGATTGTTTTCTTCTTCTTTTCGTAATTCTTCATAGAAAGAACAAGCAAGGAGTACATGTGTGATTCAGAAGAAAGAAAAATAGTAGAGTTATTATCTAATTCAAAAATGAATAAACAACTCTGAAAAACTGAAATTTCAATGGGCAAAAACTTACTCATAAAAATTAGAATGGGCAAATCTCCCAATGAAATGGGCAATTGCCCATTTGCCTCTTCCTTGGCTACGCCACTGACTAGTAGATAAAATATATTTCCGGCGATGGAACATAATCAACTGTTAATCACCAATCGAAGTGATATTTTGTTGATAACTAGAACCCAATCAGACTAGAAAAATCGTAAACGGGTTCGTTCACCATAAGCTTTTCTTGTGGACCGATGATCATTTTGCAGTATTTTTGGCTTATGACAATTGATCGCAGCCAAAACAGATGACTCTTTCTCAAGATATTGAATATTTAGAAAACCGAACATATATCACAAAAATGACTCTTCTTCAACATGCAAAAACTCGAGAAGGAGTGATCGACTTTGACTGAAAATTTTCTTTCTTTTTATTTTCCATAAATACCGCTGCCATAAGCCAAAAATATCGTACGAAAGTCATAAGTTCACAAAAAGGGCTATGAGTACGAACTCATTTACCATTTTTCTAGTCTTACCAAATCCTACTTATCAACAAAATATTGCTTTGATCGGTGATTAACAGTTGAAATATGTTCTCTCAAGAAAAGTGGATAACTACCATCATATTGTTTGAAAATACTGATTGACCAGAATACTATTGCGATTGAAACCTATCGAATTTAAAATGCGAAACAGTTTTTCATAGCTCAGTTTGTTCCACGAACCGTGCTATTTACTTTTACATGACAGATTTTGAAACAGCTTTATAGACAGTAACCTCCATAGAAATTAGCTCTTTAATGGAAACATATAAATAACTGGGGACTGTGACAAAACTGCTATGTGCCTTGATACAGACACAATTTTTCGACTTTTTTCATAAAATTTACCGATAGTTGTTCAAGAAAGAAAATCTGAAAATACATTTGATTTGGACTCTGATCAGTTGTCTTTTTAGTGACCGACTATTTTGTAACAAGACTTTTGCGCTATAGATCTTATCATTCTATCATAATGTATAGTTTCAATGTCTTAAAAATAAAATTTTGATTAGGGATACAAAAATGAAGGTCAATTCTTATTTATCCTCCTAGCCGACGTCATTCTTGCGAACACTAAAATAGTGCTGAATTAACCATACAAATGCTGATAGAATGAAATTTGGCTCGGTGTAGAAATTCAGGTCTATTGTTATTTTTATCTGGAGACCTACTTATTTTTGTGAAAAACGAATCATTGCAAAAGATAATATGATATATGACTAGATATTTACAAAGGGTACTGCATTGAAACATGACTAGTAAATTCATTACAAGCTTGTTCCTATTTATCAACGAAAGCAAAAAAGAAATAATACTCTTTTTTTTTATTTCACTCAGCAAGTTACAAATCAAATCAATTTAGTCTATTAACTTTCTTGTTTTTGTATGAGGGTTGATCAAACAAAAATCTCTCATCTCTACAGTGAGGATTAGATCCGCACTGTAAACATTCTATCTAATAAACTGATTCATCATCATCTATTTGCATGATTGTTGAAATCTAGAATTATATTAAGTATGTAAAACAGAGGTCCATACTATTTTTTCATTATTTGACTAGGTTTATTCATCTTATATCCTATCTTCACTTACAGACATATGGTGCAAAATGCACTATGCATAAGATAGTCTGCATTTTATTGAATCTTTTTTATTACATTTACATTCATCTCGATCAATATTTTAGAAATATTCTTCGAACATTTAGAAAAACCGCTTATCGATTTAGTTTTTTTTTCTCACTTTGATATAGGTTATTAATATACAGTTGTAGTTTAATTTTTTCATTATGTCTTCTTTAGATGTGCATCTAAAGCTCTGTTTTTATGTCTTGTGATTAATCGCTCTAGAGATACTCAAATAGTTAAACTGAATTACTTTTTTTTAGGTTTAATCAAACAATTGATTGAAATGTATGTATGAATTGATGATATAGAATTATGTATATCATGTGTACAAGATGAGAGATGCATTGAGAGGGTAGTGATAAAGAACCATTGGTTAACCAATGGACTTTTGTCGATCCGAACGACATGAAAAAGCATAGAAATTGCTTAATAATAGTTGGTGTGAGTTACGAAATGAATAATATCTTCCATCGTTCGTACCATAAGAAGCTTTAAGAATTATATGAACTTAATATTTAGACCCATGAGTCAGACTCTAAATTTATGTAAATTGCTGAAACTTCAATAAGCATGTCTCCGCTTCCATTATTAATTATATTTTCATTACCTTTTGCTCCACCTTAAATTACATAATATTGGCGTACAACACATCAGATGTCACTCCGTAGGTCTCTATTCACATTGAAACTTTAATAATAAAATTTTCTTGTAAGGGTGTAAGTGTATAATCGTTTGAGCTGAACTGCTTTTTTTTCTCTTAGTAAAACTCACTGATATTTAGAGACAAAAAAAAGATCTCAGTCTGTTTGGACACGTCATTCTTGAATTGATACAAAATCAATTGTGAGTAAGATCGATTTGTTTTTTTATATACAATCAATCCGAAACGAATATATGTATTTTTATTATTTAAGCAACTGAAGATTTAGTATTATTATTAATAATTGTTTTAGTACCAAATAATGATGCTCTAGCTGTTTGTCCAAGTAGTTTAAGATTTTGTCCATTATCAATTGTTGTTAAGGGTGTTCGTTTTTTAACTTTTGATTCAGCTGGACCAATTTTTCGTCGTGTTTTAGGTAATTTTGATCGTGCACGAAGATGTGTATAAAAATTAGCAAATGTTTCAACAATAATTGGCATTGGTAAATCAATAATTAATACACCAGCAACTAAAAACAAAAAAAAAACATTAATTTCTTTTTTTTTTTGCTATTTTCTTTAAAAAAAAAGAACAATGTTTCATTACCTGTTGAAACAGCACCAATTAACATTCCTAACATAGTTTTTGGATATAAATCTCCATAGCCAATAGTTGACATTGTTATCATATTAAACCATAAAGCATCTGGAATTGAACCAAACATATTCTCATTAGGATGTCGTGTTGTCATACGTTCAGCATAATAAATTAATGCTGCAAATATAGCAACAGCAATTAAAACAAAAAATATTAATAACCATAAAACAGATGATGAATATTTCATTGATGTTATAATAACTTTTAAACCAGGATGATGATTAAATAATTTAAATAATCGCATTATACGTATAGTTGACAATAAATCAAGAGCTTCATTATCATTAACATTAAGTTTTATTAATGCCCATGTAAAATAAAACCAAGATGTTGCTAGAACAAAATAAAACAATTAAGAAATATTCTACATTATTTTTACTCTCTTGCTTTTGCTTCTATAATCATAAATTATAACCTTCATTTATTATGAAGAGTACAAAAGTTTTAAATAATAGATAGATGATTCTTATAATCACATACTAATTACAATGCTATGATCAAGTAACGAAAAGTTATAATTATAAAAATTAACTGTAACATCTATCTATCTTTAATGTAACCGAGAATACAAAACTGCTATTAAAATTTATTTTAAACATGCAGTTTATTCAACGAAAGGAAAGTATAGATATGTAACAGTGACAGTGCATCATCCACCGGTTTGCGTAGAAATATGTAACGAACTTATTTCAAGATAAATGATTGATGAATCAAACTAAACTGATCTTTAGTATTAGTCTATTATTCTATGTTTTGATCGTTGGTACGATGATTGGTCAGTTCTCTACCATTGTTTTATTCCTAGTTAATAGTATTTCATGAGAAAATGAGAATTAATACAAGTTGAAAATTGAAGGCAAATCAAATTAATATAATTAGTTTTAAAAATAGATTTCTATATCTAATGCCGCCAAAACAAATGTCAGTCATGCGAAAAGCTAAAATAAAAATATACTAACAATATACAACATATCTAGAATTAAATTATCTTAAGGCAAAAATACATAATTAAAAGAAAGAATCTAGAGTTTTAATAATTAAAATTGAATGCTAATTATTTTATCTTAGATATATATGAAGTACACAAATCTGTCGAGTGCTGTCAACATGTTCAAGAAAATAACATGTATAGTGAAATTCTAGAACTAAAAGAAAATATTGATTGTCAGTAATTGAACAAGTGTAAAAATTAAATATTAAAATAATTTCTTTCAGAAAGAAAAATAACGTACCAAGAAAATCAATAATATTTAAAACTGATTGACAAAATTCTTTTTTATTTGGACTAACAATAAATCTTATCATTATTTCAAAGATAAACCATGTATTACCTAAATAAATACATAAATAAAAGAAAAGAAACAATGTAAACATACATATCCATTCAACAATATCAAACGATGGATGAACATGTTGTCGACTTAATGTTGGTGTTCGATCTGTTGTTGTTTTATTAATATAAACAGTAACAAAATCAATATCAGTTATACGAAACATTGATAAAGTTTGTAAGACAAATGATAGTATAGATACGAGAATAAAAAATATTGAAACAACAGTAATAACTTTAGCTATAGTTGATGATCGTGGTTCTTCAAATATTTGCCATATAATCATCATTATTTTTTTATATTTCGGTAAACGACCTTGAATATAATCAAAATCATCATCCCAACCAAATTTTTTTATTATTTCTTGTTGAGATGAACGTACTGTATCTAATTCTAAACTATCTAAAATTGATAATGTTTCTGCAGTTGATCGATGTTTTGTATAAGTCATCCTACAAGAAGAAAACTAAAAATGAAGTTAGCTATTTGTTTTTTATACAAACCAACAACATGGTTCAACTTCTTCTCGTTGTAAACCCCAATATGATAATTCATCTTCAAATAATGGTCCACAAACATTTGTTGGATAATGCAATTTTCCTGTTCGATAATAATTTAATATTTGAGAAAAAACACCTGGATGACGATCAAAAAAATATTCATTTAATATTGGATCATAATATGATAATTGTTCAGTTAATTTTGATAAACGTGTTGCTGGTAATTTTTTTAATGTAGATTTTAATGTTTCAAAACGTGTACCACCAACATTAAGAATAATACGTGCATCAATATCTGAACTACCAAGTAAATTAACGGCCATAACAAAAAAAAAATTGCCGGATTTTCAAATGACTTAATAGAAATGTTATGTCTTGAATCGTATGATTATGTTTATTTAATAGACAATCATGCCTACATACCCCTTTATTAATTGTAATAAAAGAAATAAGAACACGCAACACTATAGAGGATTATGGTAATTGAGAAACAGAGTTTGGGCTTATTGATCATAAAGCACACGCATAACAACGACCAACAGTTGCCGAGATGAAGGAAGAACAAAATTAGGCTCTAGTTCCACTCACTCATATTCTTATATCAAATAAAAGCTAGCAAGCGACAACGAGAGAAGTAGGAATTGCTTCGGTTTTTTTCCTCGCGGAAAAAAAGGCAAGAAATGTATTTCTGTAAAAGAGCACACACACAATGGCAAAAGAAAAAAAAAGAAAGAAGAACACGAAGAAATAATCGATGCGATGTATGTCGCTTGTTGTCTTTCTCATGGACGCACGCACGCACACATACACCCGCATACAAAATAGAGTTGCTTTTCAATTCATAAATGAATCGTCGTATGCTACCATAGTTACATCATCGTTAAAAGATTTGCTACTTGATTTTCCTTGCGTATGAGTATTTTGTGTTGCGTTGTCTAATTTGGGTGATTTATTATCTTTTCCATCTTTACTTCGATTGAATGGACTTTTAATAAAAGATAAAAGTGTCTTTTTTCTCGATTGTTCATCAATTTTTTGATCAGCAAAACGATCAAAAATTGGTTTACGTTTAGCTAATTTAATATTACCATCAGCATCAGATTCATGTACACCATAAAGAGTTTTTCCATCTCGAAGTACAAGAAATTCAGGATTAACTTCACGATCTTTATCTTCTAATTCACGTAATATTTGTGCATAACGATTTAAATCATCAGTATCAACACCATCAGGATCGTCATATTCATTTTGATCAAAATTTGAAGGTTCACCAAAAAGCAAATTGTTTTCATCACGTACAAGCGTATTTACACTATGACGAAAACGATCTAAAAAACTAGTTTTTGAAGCTGATGATTTTTTTGCGAATTTGTCATCTTTATTACCACCGGGTAAAATTTTTTTTATACGAGATTTTCCTTCTGTACGAGCTGATCTCGGTAAATTAGTAATAGTCCATTGATCATCACCAACATACTCAAGAAAATTAACATTCGATGCTAAAGCATTAAATGCATCCATGATAACTGTTTCATATTCGCTTGTATTATTTTCGGATTGTGCTAGATTTTCAATATCAATAAAAGGAACACCATCATTTTCATTGACATCTATTTCTAAAATAAAATATTTGAAATTATTTCTTTATAAGATTATGGTTACAAAGGAATTAGAATATTCTAAGATTATATCTAATTATATATTCAAATGAAAGACATTCTTTTGTCATGAGAAAAGTAATTATTTAGTTTATAATTTATGCATCGAATTCATCAGATGTCTATGGTAATATTTAATTAAGAAATACAATGTATAAGATAGACATACCTTGGTCTGTAGGAGATATATCATCAAGATTAGTATTTCTTAAATCTTCGAATGATGCAGACAATGTTGATGTTGGTAGTTTGGATTTTTTAGATTTTTTCTTTTTAGGTTTTATATCAATAGATGGTTCTAATAGATCCATAGATGAAGTTTCAGTAATTTGAAAATCATCATTATTATCATCTATAGGAAGTTTTGGTGCTTTGGATTTTTTCTTTCCAACAGGTTCTTCTATTGGTATTAAGTCATTATTTTCATTAAGGTTTTCGATTTTTGGTGCGCGTTTTTTCTTTGATTTAATTGGGACTTCTTGATCAAGGATATATTCTTCTTGATTAGTATTCTCTTTTTCAAGAGTATCCTGCACTTCTGTTTCATCCGCATGCTCATATTCATGAGTATTTGTCGTAGCTGGAATTTTGGGTGCTTTTCTCTTGTTTTCAGTACTTTTTATTGGCATCTCTGTTTCGTTTCTTGGAGCTTTCGGTGCACGTTTGGTTTTAGTAGAACGATGTTTACTAGTTTCACTAGAGACATTTTGATTGTCTATTTCTGTGTTCTCCATCGTTAATTTAAGTACTTTTTTCTAAAATATAAACTTTATTCAATGAAATTTTGACGAAAAAAAAACTGCGTATGAGATACGATATTAATACCATTTGCACATTATGTGGTGAATAAATACATGCAATTTTTTTTTTTCGTCAGCTATGAAAAAATCAATGAAGCGTATCCTCTTATTGGCTATCAACTGCATAAGGATAAATATAGATATGAAACAAAAAAAATTTATAAACACATTTTTTACAAATAAAAATACGCAGAAAGATAAAGTCATTAGTCTTTTTTGTTACGAATCATAAATTTGTTTTTTCTCATTTCTTGCTGTTCTATGAATAAAGAAAAGAAAAAAAGAATCAAATGAAAATAAATCATAATATTTATGAATACCGTCGAGAACAATTATGTACACGTCTCGGTGGAACACTCTAACAATAGAAAAGAATTATAAAAAAAGAAAAAAATACAAAAGTTATCATGTCATTTACTTTAGTTCGTTTTCGTATAGCTTCTAATTCAGTTTCATATGCTTTTAATAATGTTTCAAGATATTTTTCAATTTCAGCAATACATCGATTTTGTGGATTAAATGCATTTTCAATTAAAATTTTATATAATTGTCGATTGATAATAATCTAAAAATATTAAAATTTGAAAAAAAGAATTTTTTTTTTTCATTTTATTGTTTATTAAAATTTTACACAATGATTACGAATTCGAGCTTCTTTAAATTTAAATAATTCTTCTGCTATTAATTTATGTCGTTCATAAAGTTTAACTGATGTTGTAATAGAATTTGATGGATGAATTATTATTCGAGGTGATGGATTTGGTCTTAAAAGAATAAAAAACAAAAAAATTAAAGATGAAAAAAAATTTAGCACTTTTCTAAAAATACTCATGATCATCACTACGATTAACTGATGTCATTATTGTTTTTGATTCGGAAAATATATGACGTCGTTGTTGTGCTGTATGTTTTTCTTTTTTTGAATTATTTATTAAATATGTTTCAGATTTCGATGAATTTATTTTAAATTCTTTAAAACGATCATCAGTTATTTTATTATGTAAACATAATTGTGCTTGATTTAGTAAATGATCTGTTGATTTTTTTGCCGAATTTAATTTAAGAGTTGATTGAGAAGAAGAATCTTCAGATATAGAAGAATTTCTATTATTAGTTTCAGGCATTTTTGTCAATGCTTCTCGATGTTGATTTTCTATTAAAATTTTTTTCATTTTATACTGATGAAAATATTTTTGAATACGTCGTGCTAAAATATTTGCTAGTAAATTGCCTCGTTGACCACCATGATTATAAACAAGATATTCAGCACAAGTATCTTGATGACGAATACGAGCAAGATCATATGGTGTTAAAAAATTACCCTAAGACGTTAAAAAAAAACAATTTACATAATACATTCAGGAGCGTTACACACACATAACCTTAATGAATGTATTGAGTCTAGAGTACTCTACACGATGGATATTTTTCCATCGAACAGCTAATAGAGTTGGTCAGGTTCAAAATTGTTGGATCCGGGACCAATCCAATGGGTTCTATCCGTCGGATATATATTGTTATTTAGAAAGACCTTAGTTTGTGGTCAATATAAGCTGAAAAATCCTTCTTTTTATAAGACTAATAAGTTATATACACTATTCGATGATGATTCCGAATATTGAATACATGTTTCCATAAAGTAGTTGACGTTAAAGAAGAATGATTTTTTTTTCGAATTTCAAGTAGATCAAAGCGAAAATTCTTTTTTTACTAATCGATAGAGTGAAAGATGCAGTTTAGGATTAAATATAATTTTCTTAGGAGTGCTTTCAATTTGTTGTATTTTTGTTCACAGTAAAAAAATAAAAGCTCCTAATCCTTACTAGCGACTTTTTTTCGGCGAAACTTTCATGTCATTAAATAAGCCATAAGTCAAAGTATACGTTATCCTATTTAAATCATTAAAAAGTACACTCTCAATTTTTATGAGTTTTTATCACTTGACTAGAAAATGTTTTTAGAAATTGGGCAGGTACTTGATAGATACTCATATATTAAGACGATTCTCAACAGGCTGCTCAGTAAGATCCTGTGATATATTACATGAGTATATTGAACTCAATACATTCATCAGGAAATTATATGAATTAATAAAAATTCATTCTTTGATCATATTCATTATTGTAATCTATTTGATTTTACCTTTCGGCTCATGATAACTAATTCTTTCTTGAGTAAAATTGAAAATTTATGATCAAAGATTTATTATTATTGATTCAAAAGAAGCTAACGAAGACTTTGAGACTTCTATAATAAATTATTTAGTTTTTGTCTTAATGAATTATTCATAAAGCTGAATAAATGGACACTTGCATTCCATTTGTTTCTTAGATTAAATAATCTTGCATACACAATGAAACTCATTCAATGTTATCTTCAATATGAAAACAAACATCCCATCTTGAGTGTTATTAAGCAATGATAATAATCGAAAATCTACGTATTTTACTACAACAAAATCATGACTTTGTGGCTTTCGGTGAGAAACAACTCTTGATGTACTGAGAAAAGAAAATAAAGTTATCCATTTATTATTTTCTATTTCATCTATTTGTTTATATGAATTAGATATGCATTAATAGCATACGATTAAGAAATAAAACACTAAAAAATATCTCTTCCTAGATATCTTTGATAAACACGTTCTGAAAGGAATAATTTATTATTATCAGTTGATAAGATATTTTCTTCTCCTTTGCATTATATGTCCCACGCAAAACAAAATGAGGCGAGAAAAACAGAAAACCATTCAGATAATAAGCATCAGAAATTTATTACGCGAATATTGTTCCTTTTTTTTTTCCTCGTGCTATTTTATTTTTGCATGAATTATACAATTTAAAAGAAAAGAAAATATCCTATCAATAAATAATAATGAAGAAAAAAAACATTTCTTTCTAAAGAATAAACATTTCATGTCATCACCATTGTGCCGTACATTAATAAAATCTTTTACTAATTAAAAAAAGTCTGATGAAGTGTACGGCAGGTACATATGACCTCGAAACTTTCAAGAAAATGCTTGTCAAAAACAGCTACTCTATCAGATGTACTTATATTCTTTCAAAGTGTTTTACATCGATCTTAAAAAAAATCCTATTGTCATTTTCAAAAAGCCATGATCTCTTGAAAAAGATATTCTGAAGTCATTTTTCATTGAATTTTAACTTAGAATATGATCAATCGATAGAAAAAAATCCTCTCTTTCGATCTACACAAGTCTTAACTTTCTAGAATGTTCTATTTAAGAGTTACAAGGTTTTTCTTGAGATCTCCGATTTCAGCAAATTGACCTTAGAATATACTAAAAGAGACCATAAGACGAATAGTTCAGCATGTTGAGTTGAATGGTAATGTTTTAGCTTTAAATCAAGCTGAGACCACTATTTCAGTATTTTTTTAATTTCTCCTAAATAACACAAAAAGCGAAATTTTAAAAGTTTTGAAGAAGTGACCTCAGCTCCTTTTAAAGCTAAAACATCACAATTCGACTCAGTGTGATGAATTACCTTTGTCATAGTTTCTTTTGAAGTCTTCTAAAATCAACTTGCTGAAATCAACGGTCTCTAAAAAGTCCTGGCAACAGTTGAATAGAACAGATCGCAGAGAATTTACGTCATTGGCCAGTTATTGACTAATCAAACTTCAACATACATAGATTGCCGAAGGTCTTATCTCTTGAATGGTGAAAGTTCTAAGTCTCTATGTTGTTCCTATCAAAAGTTATTCAAAAAATAGTTATGGTCATTGCTTTTTGGAAACGACAATAGTATCAATCTTCCATAATTAATTGTTATGTTTCAACTATTTAACACAAACCGTTAATTAAATCCTATGCAACAGATTCAATCTTATCTAATTCATATGAGTGTTCTTATTTTCACTTAAGTAAAAAAAAAAAAAAAGAAAAGAAGCCTACAGCTGTTGTTTGAATAAATGAATTAACTCTTGCACCACATTCAATTAATATTTTACACATTGTTATATCTCCTAAAGTAGCAGCCAAATGAAGAGGTGTTCTATGTTCATCATTTTGAATATTAACTTTCTTAGGATATAATTGAAATATAAATCGAACAACATCTAAAAATAGATAAATAATTTTTCAAAAAAAGAAAAGAGAAAATATTTCATATACTAGAACATCCGGTTTGTAATTGTGATAGATCAATTTTTTGATGACGAGCTTTACTAAGTGATATTGAATTAATTGCTTCATATAGAGGATAATCACCACGTTTATTTTTTATCCAAATATCAGCATTACATTCTATTAAATATTTTAAACAATCAATATTTCCTTTTAATGCTGCACAATGACTTGGTCTAATATAAAATATATATCAAAAAAAATATTATCGAAATTTTATTTTCTTAATCAATCAACATACGTTCTTCCACGATTATCTTTATGATTTGGATTAGCTTTTAAATCAAGTAAAATTCGATAAGCATTCAAATGTTCAAATGTAATAGCATAAAATAAAGGTGTACAACCATTAATATCTTCACCTAGATAAAATTTGATTGTTAACGAAGAAAAAAAATTAATTGTTTGATACAAACTTTCTACTGGACATCCATATAACTCGACTAACTGTCGAATACAAGATGCATGTCCACAAGTTGCTGCACAATGAAGTGCTAAATTAAAGAAATAAATTAATATGAAACTAAAATATCGAATATTAGAAGAAAATTTTACCAGTTAGAAAATCTTTATCAGCATGTAATGGATTGGCACTAGCTTTGTATAATATACGTAATGCATCTATAGCATCTAAATATTATAGAATATATATTCAAGAAAAACATGTTGTAATTTTTTTTTTATTGTGTAATAAAAATGCTAAAAGACTGAGCTGAAACTTTTTGTTTATAGAAAACTAAGAAGAAGATACGAATATTGAGATAAGACTTAAGAGATAATATTCTCAAATGTCTCTTCGCAATTGCTGAGTGGCTACAATGTCTGGCACGTATCCACAAGATATTGTATTCAAAACTCAATACTAGCAGCCATGAAATGAGTCTGAACAAGTCACTAACGACTGTTTGTCTCGAATCATCTGTTCGATAGCATGCTGATTACGTTATGACATACGCCTACTCTTATGATTAGTTAGTGCTTAAGAGAAGATGAAGCAATTGAGCACAAGAACTCTGTGGTGGACTGAGCTTTCGTTCAAAACTACATCTAATATTAGTTGCAGGGAAGATTTCAAGCTATTGAATCAGTCGCTAGGCACTATTTAATATCTATAGGCAAAAAATCACTGAAGCCGGAAGAAAACATTTGAGGAGATTTTCACATTAGCCGGAGTTTTTTTTAATGGTTTCTTCTATTAAGTAGTTCATTTAGAGTGAAACCTTTGAATGATGTGAACGTTATCACATTTTGAAAGATGTTTTTTTTCTGAAAAGAAAATAACTCAAGACAATCAAACTTTTCATTATCAAGAAATAGAATTTTTTTCTGATTTTGATTAATGAGCATAGATCGTCAACTAACAACAAAATCGATGAATGTAATTTTCTGCTCATGAATAAAAATCAATATAATTAGTAAAAAATTGTTTCAGACAGCAGTTGTCATTGGAGAGATCTTTCCTCGTTAGAGATGAATTTAAGTCAACCTTTTCTGCTTTTCGTTCGACTTTTAATAGATACACACGTTTACTGTTGATTGGTAAAAGTTTAGTTAAATTATCGAGTTTAGACTATCCCTGATTTTATTCTATTCTTTATTTCAATGAACTCTAATAATTTATACTACGTAGCACAATCAAATAAATCTTGACTATCGCATAAATCGAAAATCCTTACCGTAAATCTACATTCTATCTTATTTTTACGATTTTTACAAAAATCATAAGTAAAAAGTTATATATAAAGTGCCAATTATCTTTTCATAATATTCATTCGACAAAGTCATAATAAATCAAATTTTAAAAGTTACTTTCTTTTATTCTAACGATACTCACAGTGAAAAGTTTTATGTTCATTTTAATATTCTTAAACAAAAAAACAAATTCTTACTTGCACTAGCAGCCCAAATAAATGGTGTTCGTTTTTGTTCATCAAGACAATTAACATCAGCATTATTATCAATTAGTTTTTTTAAAATAGTCAAATCTAAAACATCAAATTAAAATTAATCTCTCTTTCAGAAAACAAAAAAAACACTTTAATACTTTTAGCCGGATCATTATTTCCACATAATTGTGATGCATAATGAATTGGAAAAGCTCCGTAAATATCAGATGTATGTATCGGTGCTTGGTATTGAACAAGAATATCAAAAAGATCAACATGTCCACAGACTAATTTTTGTTTAAATTAATTTTCTTTTTTTTTTATAAATAAGAAAAAAAATTCTACCTGTTATCCAATGAATAAGAGAATGTAATTCATTATCAACTAATGTTACATCTGCACCTTGTTCACAAAAATATTTTACCATAATTAAATTTCCATTCAAACAAGCTAGATTTTATTGATATAATTAACAACAAAAAACATAAAGATCTTTATTAGTTATAATCCTTACCTAAATGAAGTGCTGTAAAACCTTCATTATCTTTTATATTAATAATAGAATTTTCAGCTTGTAATAAAAGACAAGCACAATCAATATTTTTATGATCGCAACAATAATGAAGTGCTGTTCGACCTTGTTCATTTAATTGATTAATATCATACTAAATTATTGATTTAATATTTCCAAACAGAAAAAAAAAATAAATTCTTACTTTTTGTTCAATTAAAGATTTAACTTGTTCAATATCTACGTTTTGGCAAGCTTCAAATAACGACATATTTCACATTGAAATAATGAATTAATAAGACAGATATTCGTAATTTGATACTTGATATTTTAAATATGAATATGAAGTCAATAACAACAGAAAGAAAAATAAAGAAAAGACAAGGATACTATCTCTATATTATATTCGATAAAGAATGAACATCGAAAGAAATTAAGAGACATTCATGTCATTCTGTTGCTGTCATGTCAGCAGGAAAGAAGATAAGAAGAAGAAAAAGAACTGTGGAAATTATTCAAGCATTCCAAACATGATGAAAAGAAATGACGAGAGAATAGATTAGAAATATGACATAATACCTAATAAAATGAATAGAAAATATTTTCATGATTTTAAATAATCATGAAAAAAATTCTTTTTTAAAAAGTTTTCATATTCAATTGAAAATAAAATATAATTCTAGAGAAGAATATTTAATCAAAAATAAAAACAATGAATTAACTCATGCATGTTTCTTTTTATTTCACCTTTTTACCTCTTTTATTTCACTTGAACGATGCATTAATCATATAAATAGAAAATGCATTTTTCTATGGAAAATATTCTTTTTATGCATATTGATTTCATATACATAGGTTAATTAAAGTTATTTCCTTTGCCATGAAATATAAAATAGTCTTTAATTAAATTAATCAATTTCTTCACGTGTTGCTCAACTATTCATTTTAATAATCTTATGTAATATTTAAATAATCCGTCAACATTTTTATAATTGTGGATGTTTTGTTTAGAAAGTATATTAACAAAGAATAAAACATTGTTCACGGCACATTTTTGAATGCAGCTTAAAGTCAAATTTCATTATATTGCAGAAAAAAATATAGTTAATCCTATTTGGATGAGTGTAGAATAATATAAGTTAATGTTTTCGCATTATTTCCTTGTGTTCAAACTGGTGTGTTGTTTACAATTGAGATATTTGATTCTGTAATTATTATTTAAGATGCTCACTCTAGTGAATAATGACTATTAAATTGCACTTTGAATCAAACTGAACCGTAAAATATTACTCATAAATTTTCTTTCGCATTTAGAACAGGTTACTTATTATAGAAAACATCAATGGGATAATGCAAATGAATTATTGTACATAATTTTTAATGTCAACCATTATTTTCTAATAATGTAATGATTTAAATATCTGTATTCATTGTTTAACCAGAAAATGCACTATATTTCTTCTATTTTGATTTAAAAAAAATGTCAGAGAAAATATTCTGAAAATTGAATGTCAAACATCATCAAACTATTTCTATTGTAAGCGGAAATATATTTTTTTTTATAGACAATGAAAACAAAATGTTTATGAATGAAATCTATCACGATCAGGAAGCTGAGAGTCCCAAACTAGAAAGAAAAAGGGGATTAATAATTGTTGAAAATGGTTTTCTCGAGAAATTTGATTTATTCTATGTCAAACTATCATGTAAGGTGTCCGAAAGTAAGCTTCAATATAATCAGTCATGTACTACTTAGTTATGTTGTGCACAGATCGATTGAAATAGTCAATGACCGTCACATATTCATTGAATTCGACGACTGATGATAATCAACACTTTTTATGTACGTATCTTATGAGCGGTCAGACTATTTTCATATGATTCGATAGTACTTTTTAAGCTATTCAAAAATCATATCAAAGCATCGAGGAAAAACAAACGCTGCTCAAACAAAGAAATCCCAATCTAGAGCCAATATTTGGAAGAGAATATGAAAGAAAAAAACATCTGATTAATAAAACTTCTTTAAATAATGCAAAATCTTCACACAAATGTTAATTTAATTATTTACTCAAAGAAGAAGCGCCATATTTTCTTTTGTTCTGCTTTTATTTCGTTACAAGTAAAAAAGAAATTATTGCGAACAGTAATATTCACAATAGCTTACATTAGTAAGAAGTAAATTTGGTAATTTCCAAGTTAGAATATTTCTATCTTTTATGTCAAATAACATGAATTCATCAATTCAAACACTGTTGGTCGAAATATTTCATCATATTCTTGATAATCTGCATGCTCAAACTATTTTATTTTCAATTCAACCAGTTCGTTGATTATTTCGAGTAATGGTTACTACGTATGATCGATATATTTTGGATTTTTAATATAATCTTAAAGTTAAATTTTCGTCCGTTTTGTGGTTTAATTAATCCGTAGAATATTATGTCATTAAGACTTTATGATGATGAATATATTTCAAATCAAATAGATTTTTCTTGTATTTCCTTGATTTGTCTTTGACAATTTACTCGACTTCGTTTAATAACTGTTTTTAGTATTGAAGAGTTTCAATTGAACATGATTTTAAAACGTATGAATTCAAATTTTTTGACATCATTTTCATTGAATATTCGAGAATATAATAATAGTCCAAGAAAAGAAACATTTAGATATTCTTTCCTCAATTTGAAAACAATCTAATCTTCGAAAAGTTGAATTAAATATTAAAAATGATCGAATATCTACTATATCATGATCTTTCAATTCTAGGATTGAATATTTAACTATAGATGCATAGATTGGTTTTGACAATATGTTAAGTAGTCTTTCGTGTTCATCTCAACTTCATAGACTTGTTCTGAAAAAAAATTTATCAAACTTATTTAAGAATTTGAAGGGTGCGAGTGTGGGAGAAGAGAAACTATTGATCCGGAATCACATCCACCTTCAGTAATAAAAAATGTTTGTTGATAATTTATTCTTGTTAATTTGAATAGTAAATAAAACCACTGCAAATATTGAAAATTAGTAGCTATGGTAAATTGTTTTTCTTTTCTTTCAACTGACAATTATTGAGATTGATAACATGAATATTAAATATACTATAAACAAAAAATTAAAATAAACCATCAAATTTACAAAAAAAGAATTTATTTTCTTAAAAAAATCTACAAAGGATAATTCATCTATTCAATTTTTATCCATTTTCTACTATGATGAATGAATTATTCAACAATACAATAAAAATGATTAACTTCATATATAAAGTATAAACTAAAGACAACAATCAATGTTAATCTATCAAAATAATTCCTCTTTTTCAGTTGATAAACTAAAAAAAGCAACGAATTGTGCGATAGAAAGATCAAGTTGATTTTTAAGTTCATGGAAAATTGTTTTCATTAAATAAAATTCTTAACTTTGAAGATAATTAAGAAAAAAGGAAATCAAATATGGAAGCAAGAGATTATGTTTGATTTGCTTTTCGAATCAACGAAACCAATTAAAATCACCAAATATTGGTTAATAAATTTTAACTATATATTAATTTGAAGAAAAAAATGTGATTTCTACAATGAATTTTCAGTTGTTCGCTTCGAAAGTTGATAGTTACAAAACTATTGAATGCATTTTATATTTTCTCTGTTAATGATAGAATGAAAGTGCAACCCTATAATTGATTCGTATATTACATATATTGTATTCACCTTTCTGTTCTTACGCTGGTGTCCTTACTCTATTGTTCTCTCATATCTATTCTTTCATTGGCCTCATCTCCTTTCCTTTCATTCTCTCTTCTACTTGCGTATATAAGCGTGTACTTTTTATGTAAACGATACAATTATATGATATGAAGGAATAGAATAAAGTGTAACTCCATCAGCACTAACATTCCTTCTATCAGAAATCGTCACACTTCTAGATTTATATTTATCAGCAAAAAGTTTAATAATCTCGCTTAAAACTATTATTATCCGCTTAAAAGAGGTAATTTAACATTTTTTACCAAAGATAAATAATCGATTTTTAGTTTCGTTCATGTAACTCAAATTCGTCATGCTCTGAAATCATCACAATTCTTAAATAATTTATTTGCATTCTTGGAGTTTGTACTAGCCTATCTAACTCATTGGGGACTTCATAGGATTCTCTGAGATGTTATTTCAAAGTAAATTGCTGAAAAATCCTGGCGACTACAGTCAACTTTTGACAGAGTGTTTTCCAAAGTAGTTAACGAAAAGAACAAAGGACTCAGAAAACTTGTCGTCATATCCTATTTTTTAGAACTTTTTCTGGTAATTATTTTGGTAAAAAAATTCTTTTCTTATCAACAAATGACGATTTTAGGATCAAAGTACTGGAAAATATTACAATATTTTGGGAATTCATAGCTCTAGAGCAATGTGACAGTGTCTAGTATTTTGATTCTAGCACCGTCATTTGTTGATGAAAATAATTTTTTTAATCAAAATGATCAGCGGAAAAAGCTCTACGAAATAGGATGTGTCAACAAGTTTCCGAAATCTTTGAAGCTCAGAGATAATAAAGTTTCAAGCGAAGCCAATAGATGGTAAGAATCATTGCAGAGACATTTGACAAACTCGTACACTAGCGGGCACATTATCTTTAGATATATATACTGCTAAATGTCAAACCAATTTGACAATATTCATTAATCAAATAAGCAAATATATTCAATCGTGGACTATAAGACATTTGAAAATATCGCTACTATTCATTGATTGTGAACTATTTCTGAATCTTCTCAGACGAACACCAAATATATTTTTATTGATCATCGAATATGAAAAGGTTACCAACATGGTTTCTATTGAATCTCTCAATCATATAATAGTTAAAAAATTACAAGTAAGAAAGGGCAATGTATTAAAATTAAACGATATTCAGCTATTATATCATATTCGTCGTAACATACAAGACTTGAAAATAAATACATCAGTTCACATTTTAAAATATATCTTAGAACCAATAATATTGAAAGTATCAAAAGCATTTAGATTATGTAAATGTATCTTATGATATGGGGGAAGACATCGATTTATTAGAGGAATAATGAGGGTACGGTTATGGATAAGGAAACTTACTCATATTAGAACAACATTGACACGAAGAATCAAAACTGACGGTTTTCGCAAATTACAGAAATATACAATTTTTATCGTCGCATAGTTCGTATCATTTTTGGTTTTGATGAAGTAGTTATTAAATTTAAGATCAATATTTTTGAATGAAAGTGGATTTATTCGATAT